GTGAAATATAGATAAGTGCCCTGCTTCTGAATGTTTGATGTGCGTGCTGCTCCATTGGTTACAACGTGGCCATCTTAAGTAGCCTGGTCCAGTGGCCCCCTGCTGGGGGGCAGTAAGCCCCCCCGCACGCAGAGAACAACAAGCTGCATACTTGCCGCACTTGTTTCCTCGCCTGACCTTCGTGGCGTCGGTTCACTGTGAGCGTTTGGTGCATGTGGACGAGGTTACATGCACGAAGATATGTTGTTTCCTTACGTGAGCTAATACAGGCACGTTTTAACCGATAATATCACAAAATCCATCAATCAATCTGCAGCTTTTGCCAACAAGGCCAGTGTCTTTGTCTCAATAAGCCCGCCCCCTTTTGGAGGTCCAATCAAATGGAGTTACAGCCCCACTTTTACTGTTAATTTAGGTGGTATTTCCATTTGGAAAATTCACAAGTCATGACAAATGACTGCAGTTTTAGTATCAGAAAGTACTGTGTTTAACAGCGGTGGTCCATCCCAGCGTCCCCCGAAGGCACCGCGATCGATGGCGGTTGGCGACAGAGACCCGCTGGGACGCGCCATCGTGCGTCATCGACCCCCAAACCAGATTAAGACTTCCCACGCCATGTTGTCGTCTAGGAACTAAATATGAGAGCGATCCACATTTCTCACCACGGCTCCGTGTGACTGACGAGGTACAACGTGACGTCCTCTCACGCCGAGAGACGGGACGTTCAACCCTGGAGCCCGATGTGTCCTGTGTGAAACAATAACCCCCCCCCCCACCCCCACCCTCCACTAACTCCACCAGCTTTCGGTTTTAGTGCCACTTCCGTATTGATGTCGCACCACAAACCTGGTTGTTTCACATAATGATGCCAGTTTACTCTGAAAAGAAAAGTAATCACCGTCTTTCAGGACACGTGTCTCAAACACGTGCATTTCAGTTGTGGTGAAGGACGGCTTGTTTGTGCAAACCTGTCTGAGAGTGCGCCTTTTGTGATGGATAAATACACCTTTTAGCAAAGCATCATTTGTTTTGCTCTTCAAATGCACCTCACCTTGAAGTGAGACATTGTGACAATAAGCAGGTGCTGTCAAACTGAAAAGAATACGGCGAAAATGGCCCCACAAAAGCTCCTAAAGCATTTAAAAAATCAAGATGGCAGCAGGACGACGTACACAAAGAGGTTCGACTACGGCAACGTCACAAATTCTGCTGCGACGCTTTAAGACCACAGCCCGCTTCCAAAGTGTCCTTGGAAGACTGCAGTGAGTCTGGACGACAGTAACAGAGCAATGCGTGCTGATAAGAAGTGAAGGCCTGAAGGTCAGGCCTGGTTGTGCGGGGAGCTCCCAGAGCGCCCGAGGATTCTGCTGACATCCGCCGTCTTTGTTTCTGCGTAATTGGCTAAAAGACGGAGCAACTATATTTACACATCCCCCAAAGAACATTAATTACAACCTGAGAGAGACAGAGAGAGACAGAGAGAGAGGGAAGGATCATCATTTTGCCAGTAGCTGCACACATGGAGGTTTGCTGAGGATGGCGGATAGAAGAAGCCTTTTCTGGTAGCATTTTAAATCATTTGTGGGATTCAGGCAATGAGAATGAGTAGCTGCACGCATGAGGTTGAGGATTCTGTTTCTCTACAAGACGGAGTGACCCAGTCAACAAATGAAAGGCGGCGAGGCTTTGTGAGGCGTTATTCCTCTCATCTGCTTTTGTCGCGGGTGAAGAAAATAAACCGTCTAAGAGGTTTTTATTCGCCTGCGGATCACACAGAGGGATGACAGCAGCGATAAAGAACAGCATCATGAAAGAGAGCGATCGAGAATCAGGGTCTATTGGGGTCAAATAAACACGTTATACCTGTCAAAGAACATTCCTATCCGCCGCAGATGTAACCTGTGCTCGTTAGCGTAGCACGCTAGCACATTGTGAGCATGGTAGCGTATTGAGTTTATTATTTATCACACAGCCATAGTAGGATTGATTGTTTCTATTACGTATTACTGTAATAGCATCTATTATTAGTTTGGCTCACTTTCTTTCTGTATTTGCAGACGAGACGTGAACGAAGATTGACACCGATATCGTAAAAGGCGATTTTTAGGCGTTTTATCATTACGTTACTGTAATAGCAGAAGCCAAAGAGAGACCTCGGCTCCTCCTTCCCTCCACGGTTGGTGTCCGACTCTTTTAGAACACGTTACATTTCGTCTGAGTATCTCGTAGACTTTGACATTGACTTTGCGACGGCCATATTATTGTTGTTTTTTTCAGACATCCCACTCTGAGGGGCGCATGCCACGGACCTTGTTAACCACTTCCTGTTATTGTCTATCGCAGGAAGAGGATTGCCAGCGCATTGCAGACTTTCAATTTCCCCGTGTGTGTGTGTGTGTGTGTGTGTGTGTGTGAGTTCATGTTTTGCAACGGATAGGCGCACATTTAGCCAACGCATCCCGAATACTGTAAAAAAAAAAAAAAAAGACTCCAGGAAGAGCCGCGGGCTCCGGAGCAAATGATACCGCGTGTGGTGGTAGTTTTCATTATGTGCAATCAGAGCCGTTTGAAAGAACACCTCAGTTAGCGCGCCAGCTACTTGTGCATCAGAAGTCAGGTAATACACAGAGCCCGCGGCGGCGTTAATCACTACCTCAGTTGATTGTACAATAATACGTTTAGAGAAGAGAATTTCGAAAGGCCCTCGGTTAAGTGTAGCGCCGTGTGAGAAACACAATGGGGGGCACTTGAGCAGAGAGCAAGGAGAGCAGCGAGGGAACCGGCGTGAAAGGGCAGCCGGGACGCAAACAACCTGGATTGCATCAAGCTATTTGTCCGGTGATTCGCATGCAAATCGGGACGAAACACGACACTGAAGGGGTCTTTGGATGATGTGACGATGTTGTTTGCAGCATCAAGAAAACCTGCGGACCTGTAAATGTGGCTGTAAAAAAGGCCTCGTGAGGCTTTCGCCGCTTTAGGGACTTAAAGATTCCAATCTGTGAAAGTGATGAAAGGCCCACATTCCTTAAGCTAATGGAACATTTAGCGCTTCATTTATGCTGCTGCTCAGGGTCATTTAGCACAGTAACTGGCCCCGTCTCAGGTGTGCGACGCTGCTCGTGATGTGTGTGTCACATCATTCCACGTTTGGCAAATCTTCGACTTCACAACGTTATTATTGAAAGTAGCCGAAAAACGATGACGCAATCGAACGCAAACCGCTCAACGCGCTTCAACCTCACGCCCGAGACCCACTGACACAGGTGCCAATCGCGGAGTTTGTGTTTATTTTCACTCGGCATTTATCTGGATATGGAGCCTATTATTCTATAACCCCAGATTGGTGTGGAAGGAGACAGGAGAAAACTGACAGAGGGTGCGAGCGCGAGCATAAGGAAAGAAGAAAAACAGTTCTGGCCGAGGAGGACGGGGAGTTGGCTGATGTAATTGAGATAGAATGAGATGGTATCAGCGCCGAGGTCGCCATGAATAAACAGAGGGAGGGCACTGAGGACAATTGAGTGTGTGAAGGAGAAAGAGGCCAAACCTATGCGTGTGCGTGTGTGTGGAAGCATTCTCCTATATGCCTTTGAGCATATGTGTAGCTTGCATGTGTGTGTGTGTGTGTGTGTGTGATCATCGCCTCGGTGGGGGAAGGGAAGCCTTTCGCTTTAAGCCCTGGATCTGACTGACGAGTGCTTTCCCCCTTGTGGAGCGCTGGCTGTGTTTGTGCGGCTCGGGAATAAAGACCTCGCTGCGGAGGGACACCCGGGGGGACCGGCACCTACACAAAACGCCCGTCACGCACAACGTCGTCCTCCCTCCCTTTGCTGTCTCGCCCACACGTCTGTCTCCCGACTGTATTTGCTCAAACTCCGCGGCCTCCTGCACCAACTCACCACACGTCAACCATCAACGGCTAGCGCACAATATGAACTGACAGCCGAAGGGAGAGGAGGGGGGGGGGGGGGGGTCCCGGTAAAAACACTTTGGATATAATTGCAGATAAATAATGTGGTTTTCACAAGACGGGTGGAGTATCAGCAGAGTTGAGTTTTAACCTCTTCAGAAATAACTTTAAATAACATTGTGCCACATGTGCTCTGGCCTAAGATTCACCTGCTTGCTGAACGCTTGGGGGCGGTGTGTGTGTGTGTGTGTGTGTGTGTGTGTGTGTGTGTGTGTGTGTGTGTGTGTGTGTGTGTGTGTGTGTGGAGAAGTGGAACCCCTTGTTGTAATTGATGGGACGAACTGCCGCGCTCCTGCAGAGCTGCTTCAGTTTCTCTTTCCTCTTTTGGGATGAGTAGAGTTGGAATGTGCACGACGTTGGAGATGCAGGAGATGCGATTTGATGCGCTCACAGGACCCCCGAAAAGCTTCAGTATTTCCTGTGCAATCAGAATGGACGAGCCGAGCACTGCAGGTCGCTGCATGTATGTTTGTGATACACATGTGAAGGAAACAGTATTTTGTACAGTTCTGCAGTACTTTTTCAGTTAAATAATAAAATTGAATTGAGTGTTGGGATAGAAGCATTTTTGCTAAGATGTGAATTAGAAAATTCATTCCATTCTTATTTCCATTCAGTCAATATGAAGCTTTAGAGCAATAAGACAGAGTAGCTCTGCTGTCGCACCAGAGAGCATTTACGCTTTGGGTCATTTGCAGTTTGCTTCCCATTGGTCGTGCAGAACAACATTAGGATTAATAAGACATGAAGGTCCTCTGCTCCCTCCTCAAAGCCACAAACCCTGACTCAGCAGGGCTGTTTGTATTTGGTAATAGTATTTGAGCTACAGAATGTGCCGTAACTCTGCGTTTTATAGATGCAGTCTGAGAAGAAAGAGATTCTGAGGAATATTGGAACACGCTCTAGGGGATGTTGTCAAAACCGTATCTCCTGATAAACATCATTTCATGATGATACGTCTATAAATATCACACAATAACATGTTTTCCAATAAACAAGTATGACTTATATGAAAGTTTTATACTACTACTTTAAAAAGTGCTGTTTATTTTCTCGTGTAACTGAGTTAGAACAATGAACTTTATTGAGTATCACCATCTTTCTTGGTATAATTATTCTTTGACTCCATTTAAACACAGCGAATGATCATACTGATTTATTGGCCAGCCATTATTCATTTTTTTCTCCTTTCCACTTGTCCAAAAGCAGCAGACGTGTCCGCAGTGGACGCATGTCCGGGCTCGTCTCCCTGGAAGCAGCCGTTGCAGGACCTGCGGACTGAAAGAGGCCATTTGAGTCGTGGCTGGTCCATTGTTGAGGACAGCTGGGCCTCTTGTTTCTTGCTTTCCCTCTGGGGGCGATGGGCACCCAATATGATGAGATCAGGTTACACCCCCCCCTCAGCCCCATCAGCCCCCCACGCATCTGCAGCAGCATTGACTGTGACTCCCCTTCTGTCGGAGAGCAGGAAAAGAAAGCAGGCGGTTTGGAAATGAGAGCAATGTTTATGTATTTATTTAACCCAGCTATTTAAGTCCAACTACTTTTATTGTACATAATTTGTACCCGTTGTATAATGTAGTTGTTGCATATTTAGCTATAAACAACATCCGTCCCAAACAGCTTCCCAGACCACACACATCTCTGAGCTCCTTCTGGTCGCCACATCTCCTCCTTCTGCATCTAACCCCCCCCCCCCCCCCAATACTCCGGGCCTCTCTTTTTTCCAAATCCTCCTCCCTTCGCCCCCCGGGAGAACGGAGCCGTGTCTCCCTCTTGGGCAGAAGGGGGAAATGAAGGGAAGCCTCCCGACCTGCCCTGTTTTAAAGATATCTTCTTTGCCTGAGAGAACCAGTGTAGGCGAAACGACCTGTCCCCGGCTTTGGATCTCCTCATGTAACCAACAGGAGCCGTACCTCACCATCTGGCCCCGGCCCTTCACTTAACCCCCCCACCCCCCCTCCTCTGACAGGCTCAGGCCTGAGTTCCTCTCCTGCCCCTCTCATGGAGAGTGGAGGTACGGGAGATGTGCCGGTCCAAGGAAAACACGCTGGGTGTGACTTCCACGTTCCAGCCGGCATCCTGTCGCTCTACGCCACACAATGCAGGGAGGGAGGCGACAAATCCCTAAAGCCACTTTGTGTCAGATGCAGACACAAATAGAGTGCTGCTCCACGTGACAGATGCTGCACAGGCTGGAAAGCAACGGCGCTTCATCTCTCCTGACATGTTCTACACAAAAAATGGATAAAAAGAGAAACAAATATATATATTTAAATGTGCCGGTGATTGTTAGTCAGCAGGAACGTCAACGACACGGAAGAAGAACCAGCCGTGGAAGCATCGGTGGTACGACCTGCTTTTCAGAGAAAAAATAACAACAACCGAGCACCGTTTATATTGTGACATGTAAAAATATGTTATATTAAGTGCTGAGAACATAATTGAATTATAACTGAAGTGCTTCGGCTCGATGTCCCACGTTGGTTATGAGGAATAAAGCAGCATTCTGAGTTTCCTGTGACGAGGCGCAGCTCGTCCCCCGCGGCGAGCAGAGAGACTGTGGGCCGGTGGGGCAGCTGGTGGCGGGCAGGAAGAACTTAACCAGCCCTCCTTTGTGGGTCAGCTGTCTCTGGCCCGGCTTTGTCATCCCCAACCGGGTCCCTCGCGCCCCGAGCCGGGGGGGGGGAGGTTTTGACATGTAAATGGGTGACCGAGAGCCCCAAAGCCCCACGATTACTCGCTAAGATGCTGCAGGGGCCAAAGACGGCTCCCTGAGATGCACCTCTGGGGGACACACACACACACACACACACACACACACAGCCTCACAATCTGACACCAAACACTCTCCACCCTAATAGAAATATCCACACACGGTGTTTGGGGGGGGGACTATATGAACGATGTAAACCCTGTAAACCTCTCAGGTCATTGTTGGTAACATTGGGTTAAACAACACATAAAGCTGACCTGATTTAAAGGGTAATGCTGATGAATAAAGCTTCAGAAGGAAAACGGAAATGCAACAGATGTTACGATGATTCAGGTCCCCTCTTCATTGGCACTGGTTTTAATTTGAGTATTGCAGGAGAATAGAGAAAATAGACCTTGCACATGTGTAGAGCATATGCATCATGAATGCACTGATTCATACAGATTCAAATATTATGAGATTTTAATTCAAATTGGAAGGAATTCTATGTTTAAAAGCATAAATATATAAAACATACTATAAATCTAAATTCTGTTAAAACTATTACAAAGATCTGGTTGAATGACATTAAATCAGTTCAAATGAATCAGTATTTTATATATTTCCTCATTATTTTGTTTGCACACGGTTTAATCCCCTGATCACAGAGTCTAAAGTGATTCTCACATTCAAACCGACGCAGATGTGAAGGAGAGCAGCTGTGGTTGAACGTGTTCCACCTCATTAGCCGCGTTGCCGTTCAATTCTCAGGCGAATCTCTAGCAAATGTTTGAAATGTCAAATCAAAGGAAAATGTGAAAAAGGCGCAATTCTATCGACCGCTTCGGAGTGAATTGGGTTTTGTCAGACGTTGGCGCCGTGGAACGAGAGCTGAGAGCTTTCTTCTGTTTGCCACATCTATGACGGGCGAATTAACACACGACTTCAGGAGTCTGTCAAACTTGGGGGCCGTTGGGTGAATGTCAGACGAGAACAAGTGTTCACACATTACGGGAAAATCCAAGAAGATGCTGACGGCAGAAACCGTGGCGAACATGTTACATGTTACATGTTCGCCACAGCTCAATTCATTAGCACTATTTTCAAGGCGTTTCCATATTTAACTCTTCCCCTCTTTTAAAAGAACCGCAGAAACAACACGTGACCCTGAAAACCTTTCTGTCACAGCTGATGTAGTCCATTCTAAGGTGATACAAAATGTGAATGTGGAAACGAAACTCACATGATGTGCAAAGATTCTCAGTTGAAATGAAGGTTTTGGTTCTCAAACACGCGGGAACACGAGGAAAAGCCAACGGCTCACAGGCCCATAACCTTTGATCGTTTCAGTAGCTCTATAAAATGAAGCTCGCGGCCAGACAGCGACGCCCCGCCGAGCTGCTCGTCGGGCCACGTCTGCGCGCCACATGTGTGCACGGCGGTAAAACCGCCCGGAGAAGCCGCCTGTTGAAAGGCTACAATGCCGCTTTAAGCGAGAGGGCAAACAAACCGGAATAATGCGGCACGTTTGGAAAAAGGTGCCGGAGCCGCTTCCACAAACGGGAACGCTCCACGGGCCCCAATAAGGCGCGAGCGGCGGCGGCGCCGGGGGGGGGGGGGGCTAGCGGCCGCGCAGGAAGTGAAATTTGCTCCATTCGCTGGAGCCCGCGGCAGCTTGAGGGACGACGGCCGCCGCTGACGCCCCGCGTGCTCGTAGCGCGGAAAGGACGGGACGTGAAGCACGTGAACACCGATTTACCCGTGTCTGCCGTGCTGCCCGCACAGCTTTACGGGGAGGCATTCTTGGAGCACAACCAACCAGGAACCGCTGCACGCTGTGACAAAGTGCTGCTTTCCAGGCTGCCCTACTTTCTGCCTGTGGTTGTTGACTCGGCTTTATTTGTTCTCAACGGCCACTAATCGCTGTTTCTGTCTCTCTCTCTCTGTCGCTCTGCTGTTTGTGCGGAAATGGAGTGGCTCTATTTTCCACCACTGGTGTCGAGGTGTATGACGGTTGGCCTGTGCACAACAGGACACGTCCATCACACGCCGCGGAGAAGCCCGTGATAACGAGCTTCCATCGACAGCAGAACAAACGGTTCACGTTTCCTAATGTGCCTGCGTGATGTCAAGCACTTAATAACGTGTTTGCATCTAATCCCGACGACACGGTAATGGATCTGATACGTCTTTGCAGTATGGTGACGCAGTATGAGAGAGAGAGAGAGGGTGGAGGGGAGGGTGGGGGGCGGATAATGACCTCAGCTTCCATCTGCCGGGCACCACAGGGCGGAGACACCTTCAACCTGCCACCGGTCCGTCGCCACGGCAATCTGCCGCTCCCCATCGTCCCGGTGACATCTGCTTTTGGGTGACTGAAAGACGAATGCAGCACCAGAACAGACATCACGCTAGACGCACACGCACACGCGCACACACACACTCACTGCGGCACAGATGGCCAGAGGAACACGACTGCGAAGATCACGATCCAGGCGTCCTCCCCCGTGCCTCTCGCCTCTCGGGTGGATGTGATGGCAGATCTGTAGTGGCGTTCAGGTGCGTCTCCTCCCGAAGCGCTGCCGCGGGGGCCCGGCGTCCCGCGGAGCCGCTTGTTTGATGCCGATTCACGCACGCGACGCACGCGTTGACCCGTCCGAGGAATCGGGATCGCGTTCACCTCTGTTTGAGTTCACGCCGCTAACCGGTGTGTTTTTAAAGCGAGGGGAGTAAACGGTGTCGTTTGCCGGCAGTCTGTAGCTGAGGGGGCATCGCTTTGCTTGACTAGAGTTCCCAGCCACAGCTGTCACAGTAATTTAGTGCCTCTGCGGTAACCTTGGAAACACCCTCCCCGCGTACAAGTGTTTCCACAAAACTGTGATCCTGGCAAATAGGTGAAGTGCGGCGAACGGTCAGAGCGGAGCAGCGGAGAACAGTCACAAAATCACCTCATGTGTTGGGTTCAGTATGAGGAGGAGGACAGCTGGAGGGGGGAGTCAGAAAGAGAGAGAGAGGGGGAGGAAATGAAGGGGTGGGGCGGTGGTGACGGAGGAACAGTTAAGCGGAGGAAGCAGAGGGGTGGGGGGGGAAAAACGGGAATCCAGGTCAGTGTTGTGTGATTACGCATGCACGGGCATCACGATCCACCGCCGCTCGGAGAGCGAGAGACATTTTGGGCAAGAAAAGGCAAATGAGTGACAGGCGGATGAGCAGAGGGGAGGGCATTAGAGAGGAACGGCAAAGTGAAAAAATGAGCCATTTTAATTGGCGGCTCAATCATCTCACGCGACAGCAGGTTAAATTCAAAAGGAATGCAGGCTCGAAGTATTACAAGCGTGAGTGTGATCCAAAGCAACAATACAACTTTTTAAAATGGACAAATTCAAGCTGGGATCTGGCATTTGCAGCTGCACCAAAGTTATTCTCAACCGCACATGCAGAGGACGGCAGGTTGTTGGCTAAAACAGGCCAAAGGGGTTACGGCTGATTCTGGTTCTAAAAGACAAGCCTAGTTCACAAATCGTAAATCCAGGAACGACTCCGTGTTTTCTGTAGTTTAGTTGAGCAACACTGTTTAGACCAAAAATGTCCCTTTTATGGGACTTGGAGGAACAGATCTCACAGGACGCGCCCGCATCAGTGCGTCGTCAAACTACATGAACACATTTTTAAAAGATTCAGTAACAGTCGTGATAAGCTAAATGTTGATGTTGACAAATCCCAGCCACATTGCATTGCAGGGCCGAGTCATCTTCTCATTCTAACGGAGGCAAATACATGAAAATGTGTTTTTAAATTATAACAAAGCAGGAGAAAAATCCTCCATCTACGCAAGAGCATCAACCACACGCAACGTCAAACGGCCGGGCTGCACAACCACAGATAAACAGCTGGAGCCTTTTGCTCAGTTTTTGTAAGTCGCAACAACGGCCTCTTTTCCGTGTGACTTTGAACCAGTTTTAAGTGTTTAAACTGGATGTTGTGTGTTGATCGATTTGCCATCACGGATGCGTCCAAATACTAAAACGCCTCCAACCCTCGGCTGCTGTTACCATGGAAATGAAACCGATCAGAGGGGCAATTTGTGAACAAAAGATGACACCTTTGCTGAATTAATTTAATATTTCCCAAAATGTCACACTTAATTGAAACATAGCATAGCATATTTATCTTGCAGCCAGTGTTTGCCACAGAGCGTTTTTAAGATGTTAGTTTCCGAAAGGCAATAACTTAAGGAAAGGAGGAAGAAAGGAAACAAGGAAGCAAAAGATGAAAGAGGGAAGGAAGGAAACAAACCTGTGGAAACAGAAGGAGGACACAACAGTAGGACGCGAGCTTCAACTGTGCGTCACGCACGTTGGCGGGGACAAGCGTTTGTGTGCATTAATGAAGCTGGATGCTTCGTTCCACACGTTCTCTGTGCCTCAGCACACTGGCCAACAGCGTGGTTTAGAAGTTGTGTTTGCTGCCTCCTTACTAATTCATTAATTAATGTGTGCTGGGCAGGTAGCGTGCATTAAAGCTAGAACATGTGCTAATAAAGTTAAATGACCCGCGTGGCTTGTTTTGGTTCGTAGCTGCAGAAACATTCGTTGTGCAGCGACGGACTTGTGGAAGATTCACCAGCTTGTTTCTGGCTGCACAAGCTGCAAACCTAACACCGCGCTCAGAGGGTTCCACACGCCACCCCTCACAAAACACACACACACACGCTAACTAATTTCAAACACACACATGTAGCCACAAAATCACATGTTCCTCGAGACACATGCAGGCACATACCCACACAAAAGAACTCTCACACAATCCCTGTTGTGCCTGTAAAGTCAGCACAGCTCTCAGAAATTCCACTAACACCTCCCACCCCATGTGGACACACACACGCACACACACACACACACACACGGGCGCACACACACACTCCTGTGAACCCACACAATTAATGTGAATTCACATCCATCTTCTACCCCGGTGCCCCTCCCCTGCTCTCCATTACAAATAGCTGAGGATTGCATTCTCTCCCTCTGGCCCTGCCTGATGTTGCTTTTACATCTTGTGTGCAATAGTCTCCCTTATGTAAGAAGAAATTACCCAACGCCAGTTCATCTCGGCGGGGGACGCTGCACTGCTGCATTCCAAACCCAATGAAAGACAGGGGGGGGGAAATTGTGAGAGCGGACTAGAGGGTCCGCGATGACGGCAGAACAGGGGAGAGGGAGGCGCGCCGCGAAGGTCACGAGTCCGAAATCCAACTCCCGGGCACCTGCTGAGCCTCCGCCGCGCCTCAGAGTCAACATGCTTAAGTGGATTATTTCTCTGCAGACTTATAACCTCAGCATGAGCACCGAGGATTCCTCGACAAACATTGACCAAGAGATAAGGAGGCAGCGTGTGCAGATCCACGGGGGGGGGGGGGGAGGCTGCATGCATACGTTGGATGGAAGAGATTAAAATAACCTGAGCTGGCAGCGAGTGCACTGCATGGAAGGATGGCGGTGGACCTCGATGAACCTTCAGCTCCCGTCCAATGCACGGCCGCACTGGCCTCGGCTCGGCCGTGTTCCCGCTTTCTTCCGCACGCGCGCCGCAAAGGGACGTGACTTCTAATCAAGTTATTCATTGTCCTCCCGATCGAAGACAAACAAACGAAAGGCCTCTTCTTCTTCTGCTGCACCGACAGAGGAAGATCGTTTGAGTGTTGAGCTCGTCTGTCGCCTTGGTGCACGTGCGCGAGTGCGCGGGACGGAAATGGAGATCCAGGGACGTGCATGATACAAGATAAATACAATCAACAGGCATTTGGACCATCGCTGTGATTTATCGATGTACAAAACGTATGAATATGATGGTCAAAATCCCCCGACGTCACGTCACATCGCTAATATTCATTAGCGATTCAAATCCCCAAATGTAGCTTGAAAAGAAGGGAAGGAAGTGACAGTGACATTTCCACTATCTATTATCCCTTTTTTACTGGCGTGTTGTGACCTTGGACGTGACCCGAAGAGAAGAAGGCTTCGCCAGCAAAGACAGCGCGGAGGATCTTTTATTCACGGATGAGTCTCCTCCGTTTTAAGCGACACCCGACTTGGTATCAGCAGCCAGTCGCACCTCTGTGGCGCCTGCAGAGGAGCCACGGACGCGCGGCGCCCGCGAAGACGCTGGAATGATCGAATAAGGGGAGTCGGGGGACAAAAGGACCGCTTGTCCGCGGCGGCCTCGAGCATCTGACTTGAGAACGACACGTGGGCCTGGAAGCGCCAAGGCGCGGCGGTCACGAGGCGGCGGGCTGCGTCTCCTCCCTCTCTCCGTGAGGACTGCGTGAGGACTCCATGTCCCGGTGCCGCTTTCGTCACTGCATTTATTTTTGGGCCGGCAAACGCTGAATATCAGACTCATTTAAGCAGGGGAAGGGAGACGATTCGTTATACATAACGGTTCATCTTTTGCAGGCGAAGAGGGAACATTCATGAGGCGGCGCGACAATCATCCACCGGCTCGATTCCAAAGTGTCCACGTGCGTTTTAATGAAGCGCTTTTCATTCTCATCTCATTGATTCAGAGGACCGACCTCCAGCTGTGCTTCGCCCAGAAGGAAGAGGAGAGCGATAAGGGGAGGAAGAGTAACGTGAGGGTAAGGAGGGGAATGGATTAAAGCCGGGAGGGAGGATACAACAGAGACCTTCAAGGTGCAGGGGGGTGGGGGGGGGGGCCGGGGATAACAGCCGAGGATCATGGGATATGCTGGCCTCCGTGCGTGTACAAAGGCAGGTACAAAGAGCCTCATTCCGCTGTGTGTCGCTCCATTTCCCTCCCTGTGCTCCTTCTACAGTCATTAGTCACATGTTATCAAATGAACCCCCCTCCCTCGATGCCTTTCTTCCCCGCTGCTCATAATCACATTAGATGGGCTCCAAGTAGTGGGAGGAAACACTACCTCTCCGTGCAGACAGCACACGGACAACGCCCTTCGGCTGACATTTGTTTTCTCAATGACTTGTGTCTTAGGCAATGAGAGGAACACACACACACACACACACACACACACACACATGGACGTGTGTGGCGCAAACAGAGTCTCAACCGGGTTTAAGACAATGGCCACAGAGAGGTCATTATGGGCTGAGACCATTGTCTCACTCCCGTTTACAACCACACCTGCCCTTGATGTCACATGTGTGTCAATGGAGCGGGCAGGAAAGTCAAACGTGTGCGCGTGTGCGTGTGTGTGTGTGTGTGTGTTGCTCACACAAGACGTATTCCAATCGCACATGGGCGGAAGAATTTGGATCTTGTTATACAATGAATATTATAGAATGCTCACAATTTAACCATTGTATTAAAATGAATAATCCTTCATCGCCTCAAATTCTTCTCTGCTACTGAAATGATTAATTGATTGTTTGAGTAGCTGATCAACATGAAAATTAATAAGCAGTTATTTTTGGTTAAAGTTATTAAAGGCAAATGATCAAGCGGAGGATTCACTACTTTTCTGTCTATTGGTTATTGGACTCTTTAGTGTCTCAGATTACTGATTAGTCTATATGTGATGGCCGTATTAGTTAGAGGAAACAACGAATTGATTAATTACAAACACAGACATTGAATATATTGATGTGTGTTTGCAGCCGTTGATGTTCTGCCTTCCTCTCCTGTGTGATAAAGACGCCCGTTGTATCCCGTCGTCCATCACCTGGTTAAGTGTGCTTTTGCTCTGCTGCAGTAACCGATCATCATCATCATCATCATCATCATCATTATCCACGCTACCCACGTGTCCAGCCGCTCGCTGCTCCTGCAGCCCGCCGAGCACATGAGCAGCCATAACAACACTAACTGCCTGAGAGCTCACTCTTCCTCCGAGTGGCTGCGTGCCGCTTTGTGCCTTAAGAGCCCGTCTGTGTTCCCGTCTTAAATCGATCTATCTGCCACATTCCAAACCTACAAAAGGCGCCGCTCCCATTCATGAATAATGTGCATGAGGTGCAGGGGGATGTGGGCTACTGTTTCTTTGTGTGTCTATACGCGGGCCGGGGGGCTGGACCTCTTCAGCCTCCCGGAGGTCCGGGACATCTGACCCCCGGCGCTGTTAAACCTCACGTGATGGAGGTGAAGAAGAAGCGCTGACTGAGGAGTGTGTTTCCATCCTCCTCCATCCCTCAACGCGTCTCATCATCCTCTGTCTTTTATTCCTCCACCATCACGTTACGTGTTTCAGATGACCTTATTTTAAGGGACAACTGAACAATGAAAGGTGATTTTTCAAGTGTTGAAAGGCAAAGAGTCCCTCAGAATGAAAATAAACTCATTTAAAAAAGAATGAAATCAATTTGATTTTTCAACCAAACTGACACATACGTGCAAAACGTTCCATTTGTCTATTTTGATAATAGCAAAGTGTTAACTCCGATATCCTTTCAGCGTATCTGTCCAACGTCAGTGACTTATCTCGCTCTTCGTGGGTGGCAAAAATAAATCATTAAAACAGACAATTATTACCAAACAAGGATGAGCTGTCACAGCTGACAGTCAAATATTCAACCAACTCTGTCACTGTATCGGGAAACGGTGACACTTTGAAGGTGGGTAATACCCCGAATGTGGCTTCACGGGGGTGGAACTGCCTGTGAATTGCCCGTATTTCCAGTTTGCAGAGAGATGAGGGGAGCACAGTACCTCTTCATGCAGGAGGTTAATGTGTGTCTGTGCTCACTTGTCAGATGTAATTGAAGGGAACAGCTTAGGAAAATGAGGTGGAAGGGATGAGGTCTTTAATTAGATCAGGATCATGGACAGAAATGAATTAGAATCACCGCTCTCATTACCCGCAGCAGAACTGGAGCAGCTGAGAAGCGAACACATGAAGGAAAACTTTTTGACAGCATTGCTGTGTCAATGTGGTTATGGGGGACAATCGTCTGTGAGCGGCTCAATGCTTAACACCGTATCAATCTCTGTTTTGCTAGATCCGATGCCTTATTCACCCCCCTAAAGTCACAAGGTCCAATATGTGCAGATGACTGTTCAAATCTTGAAATTCTTTTTAAAAAAATGAAGAAAATGCAACGTAGAACACACACGCCATCTAGTGGTGAAACTGTAACAAAGTGACTGATGAAGAGATAAAAGAATAGTGGACAGAATTATGATCAGATATTAATCTAGATATTTGAGATATTTTTTGAGTTTAAGTGAAAAAATATATACAAGACGATATTATAAAATACGTCTGTGAACAGTAAAGGGCGAAGATGTCCTCTAACTGTCGAAGAAAAGGACTATTTGTTTATTCTTTGTTTCTATAAATAATATTTTTTTTCAGGTTTTAGGATAAAATAACCAAAAATGCTAAATTTACATGCAAGGACTTAATATAGTTGACAGTAGGCGGGCAAAATATATAAAGGTTTAAGGTAGTGTAAATCAGTCTTGGTTGGGCTGCTTTTGTGTATTTGGGGTCGTCTTGGCGCAGGGGGTAGGGCGGGTGCACTATGTTGGGGGTTCGAGTCCCGGCTGCCACATCTCTCAAGTCAAAGTGTCCCTGAGCAAGACACCTAACCTTGGATAAAGCGTCAGCTGTAATGTAATGTGTACACTACACAACATCACATTTGAAGTAACGTTAATGTAAGAGTACGAAACGTATTATTAATTACCTAATACCATGGTATTACAATAAATTGTACTCGCATTGACCTTGAATTACATTCAGTGCAATCCGTGTGACGTCACAACGGCGAAACACGCCTCTTGTGCTTTAGGGGCGTTTCCGCCCCCCACAGAACAGCCTACCTCGGTAATCTACTCCTGAAATACCTGCACCTGATTGGTCGATCCGCTGACGGGGGGCGGGACGGTGAAAACAGCACGCGCCTGAGAGGCCAAACCAGGGGACAGAAACGGAGCGCGAAACGAGAAGGAGCCGCGTCGTCCTGTCAGCGCGGCAACAACACGTGTTTCTACGGGACGCGGAGACCAACACAGTGCGTTTCCATTCAACATAACCACCGACGGCCGACCGTAGCGTCCCTCGCCGTGGGGTAAGTTCGTGTGCTGTAGGAGGCTGACGAGGGGCCTTACGGTTAAGCTAACGTTAGCTAGCCAAACACACACGCAGCCGGTTCAGCTAACGTCGGTTGTTTACCGTTGTAGCGGCTCGGCTACATGCAGCTGTGGACTGGGGTGGACAGCTGGGGTCTTATGATGACACAGACTACTGGAGGCCGAAACAAAACAACCGTTTCCCATCACAACAACTCTTGACACAACACGTACACGCCGCGAGCCCTTCACTGACCTTCCAAGCGCGGTTAATGTGTTACCTCGCTCACACAACACGTCAGTCCGTTACGGTATTAACTTACCTTCGGTGTTGACATCTCGCTTAGCCCAACCTGTTGGACACAGCAGTTCTTGCGGTAATTAGTGGAACTTTAGCTGTGTGTGTGTGTGTGTGTGTGTGTGTCAGGTGATCAGCATCCAGGTGAAAGGTGCAGTGATCGTTTCTCGCTCTGCGCTCAGGCCGACATGAAGTACATCCTGGTGACCGGAGGGGTCATCTCCGGCATTGGAAAGGGCATCATCGCCAGCAGCGTGGGGACGATCCTCAAGTCCTGCGGCCTCCGCGTCACAGCCATCAAAATCGACCCGTACATCAACATCGATGCCGGCACCTTTTCGCCGTATGAACACGGTGAGCAATCGTTTGACGGAGACCTGCTCGGGGGGGGGGTCTAATTGCTCTTTCCAAACGATAGCTCATTGTCGAGGTTTCTCTGAGCTTTGATGGATGTAATGTCTGCGTGGCGCAGGTGAGGTTTTTGTTCTGGACGATGGCGGCGAGGTGGATCTGGACCTGGGCAACTACGAGCGTTTCCTAGACATCCGTCTTACCAGAGACAACAACCTGACCACGGGAAAGATCTACCAGTCGGTCATCAACAAGGAGAGGAGGGGAGACTACCTGGGCAAGACCGTGCAAGGTGAGTGGGTAATATCCAAACACGGAAGCCTCGCGTGACCCCTCGACATTGAGCTCCCCGAGCTTTATTCTCTGAATGTGTTTTCAGTGGTGCCTCACATCACAGATGCCATCCAGGAGTGGGTGATGAAGCAGGCCAGGATCTCGGTAGACGACGACGGCGTGGAGCCTCAAGTTTGTGTCATTGAGGTAAGTCGGTGTTGTTGGCACTTCATGCGAAGACACAAACAAGATTTATGCTTTCAATCCAAAAATACACTATAATAATATTATAGATTATTATATGGATATATGACTATTAGAATGTTTTTTTGTCAAGTGTCATATTTCATCAACTCCCACAGCAAACATAATTTCTCTGCCAACGCTGCTAAACGTTTGCACGACGACACAGACTGTAGAAGCATATCACCCTCGGTTTATTCAACCTCGAGACGAGCCCGATCTTGAATTATCTCTCGCCCTCCAGCAGGTATTTCGTTGGGGTGTGAACCCAAACCAGCTGGGGCAGTTTTCAGCTAATGACGGCCGCGCTGAATAAGTCCATGTGAACCCACACGTGTGTTTGTGTGTGCAGCTGTGTGGTCTGAGCTGCTGTTTTGTGTCAACAGCTGGGAGGCACAGTGGGGGACATCGAGAGCATGCCCTTCATCGAGGCCTTCAGACAGTTCCAGTTCAAGGTGAAGAGGGAGAACTTCTGCAACATCCACGTCAGCCTGGTACCTCAGGTGTGTCCCGTTGACTGTTATTTCACGTAGCGACACGTCTACGCTTTTGTTTGGTGTGAGTTTTGAAATGCGAGGAGGAGAATAACGTCTGCTTCATCTGTCACACTCATTTAAGAGGAATGTGCTTTTGTGTCCTCAGCCCAAAGCCACGGGAGAGCAGAAGACCAAACCAACACAGAACAGTGTGCGAGAGCTCAGAGGGCTGGGCTTGTCTCCGGATTTGGTAATTTTAGACTATTAACTAAAATGTAGATTATAACTCGCTCTTTAAACGTGTTTTTACCTTCTGCACCAGGATAATAACGTTCTTCTAATGTTCCTGTATGTTCCTGCATGTGTAGAAAACCAATATATACAATATGTTGTACACAACCCGATCAGATCTGACATATTGGACATACTTGTCATTCTCACCGGAGCAGGGCGGCATACGTAATAATTGATGAATCAATCCTTAGGGTTTACAACTATAGCTACAAGCGTGTCCAGTTGTATAATAAACATATTGTTTATCTGCAGATTATGTGCCGCTGTTCTTCGCCCCTGGAAACGTCTGCCAAGGAGAAGATCTCCATGTTTTGTCACGTCGAGCCCACGCAGGTAAAGTGCAGTGGCTTTGTTTCTGCATCCAACGACCGAACCGCAAGCTCTTAATTCAATAGTTTGATTAAGAGCTACAGAGCACGTATAAGAGGCTAGTAGCAGTGACATTGATTCAATTATTGTCTGAGGACCTGGAAGGCGTCTGGCGTCCGCTGCCCACAAAGCTCCAGCGTGTATTCTGAGAACTTACAGCCTCAAATGTCGATTATCTGGAGAATAAAAGTTTCAGACCCCTCAACAATCTCATACGTATGATTTCCCGTCGACGTCGACTCTTCTCTCACTGTGGGTTTTTCTTAAGTAGGTGATCTGCGTCCACGACGTCTCCTCGGTCTACCGGGTGCCCCTGCTGCTGGAGGACCAGGGGGTCGTGAGCTACCTGTGCGAGCGGCTGAGCCTCCCCGTCGAGGTGAAGCCCCGAAAGATGCTGACGAAGTGGAAGGAGATGGCTGACAGGTCTGTGTGGCTTTAAGCAGTGATCAGCTGATCGCCGGCGCCAGGCCGCGTGAACCGCCCCGCTCTCTCTCTCTCTCCTCAGATCTGCCCGTCTCCTGGAGCACGTCTCCATCGCCCTGGTGGGGAAATACACAAAGCTATCCGACTCGTACACCTCTGTGGTCAAGGCCCTGGAGCACTCCGCCCTCGCCGTCAATCACAAACTAGAAATCAAGGTGGGAATGTTTTGTACATTCGCTTGTGGATTTTGCTGTACTGCTTTAGAATAGTAGAGAAATTAATATATTAAAGTAGCTGTAAAAAAAAAAAAAGGAAAGGTGCGCATCAATTGGTGGGAGACTTCATGTGCTTGTTTGTTTACATGATAGTACATAGACTCTGCAGATCTGGAGACTAGCACTCTGCAAGGTGACCCTGTCAAGTATCACGAGGCCTGGCAGAAACTCTGCAGTTCTCAGTGAGTAGAAAAACCATAATTGCTTTTATTGAGTTGCCACATGATGGCAGCAAAGTGCTGTCGTCCTCCGTGGTTTTAAGCAGCTGCATCAAATGATCAATGTGTCTTTGCTGCTGTTTTTACAAACTCGCCAGGTTTTATTACACATGGATTACACCTGCAATGTACTTGGGGGGAAGAGAGAGTTTATTTTAAGTCCTGTAACTATTCTCCCGCGCAAAAACCAGACGAGCTGGTGTTGCACAATGTGATACGAGCAATTATTCTCTTGCAAATACAAAAAAATGGTCGCTGGATATCAAGTCATGTTTTGAATTTTAGATCATTTTTCTTTGTCTGTTTTATTTTTACTGTCAAGTAAAATAAGTGTTTTTAGATTGTGTATGTTACCCCCCCGCAGTGGTGTGCTGGTACCAGGAGGTTTTGGAGTGAGAGGGACAGAAGGAAAGATGCACGCTATACACTGGGCGAGGAAGCAGAACAAGCCTTTCCTGGGTGCGTGATGTCATGTTGTAAACTCGATGCGTGTGAAGGACACAATAAGCTGAGTGTGCCAGAGCAAACCGGCTGTGTTTGATTGGCACATCAGAGTACGGAAACACAACCACCAACTGAACATGCTGTGCTCAGGTGTATTACGATGTTACAGAACTGTAGGATTCAAGTGTCAACCGGTTACTTTGTGTGTGTGTTATATTTGTACGGAATTCAGATTCTTTGATGTCAAACGAGAACGAATCTCGACAAAATGGATCAATTTTCTTTTTTTTCTTTGAGGAAAAAACTTAATTGCATCCACTTTAAATGATCACTTTCAAGTATTAGACAGCAGGATCGCCGCTGTGAAACCACTCGATGACTCGTCGTGCTCTCGCTCTGTGCAGGCGTGTGTCTGGGCATGCAGCTGGCCGTGTGCGAGTTCGCCCGCGACGTCCTCGGCTGGGAAGGTGGGTAATGGCGCCGTTCACAGGAGGTCCTCCTGGTTTTCTAATGAAACGATTACAGGTCGCCGATGGATCCGTTTCACTCCTGTGATCTTTTTCAGACGCCAACTCCACCGAATTCAATCCAGAGTCCACTCACCCTGTGGTCAGTTCCCTTTGCTCACGTCCCGTCGCATCGCCGGTCTGAGCCGGAGCGCTTTTAACCTCCTCTGATCTCCAGGTGATCGACATGCCGGAGCACAACCCGGGGCAGATGGGTGGGACCATGCGGTTGGGGAAGAGGCGGACGATTTTCAAATCCAGCACCAGTGTACTGAGTGAGTCACCGCCGCGCCCCCCCCCCGTATGAACGTTGGTGTGTGTGATCAGCCCGGCCTGTTTCTGATGACGGATGTTTCTTTGTTCTAGGGAAGCTGTACGGCGGCGTGGAATTTGTTGATGAGAGGCACAGGCACAGATTTGAGGTAAAATAAAGTGTTTTAAACCGTTTTTGTATGAGAGTGCAAAACAACTGCATGCTCCAGGGTAGTGGTTCTCAAAGGGGGGGGGTTGTATGTGTACCCCTGGGTGGACGTCACTCTTTAAATACATTTAAAATTGGCATCCATTCAAACATCCTATAAGTGTAATTTCATAAACTTAATGTTATTATTCAATTTCATTATCCTAAAATCCAGAGCGCGCCCCCCACCTTCAACACCAGAATGGTTTGACCCAACTTGGCACGGGCCGGTTTGTGTTTTTCCAGCGTTGACAGCTTAATAAATCAGCCGGCGAGCTCCGGGCCGCTTGTTCGTGCTGCTCGAGACTCGACACTCCATTTTCATCAGAAATAGGTTTTTGTTTCCAACCCGTGTGCCGGATTGTACGAGACCTTCACATCCTTATTTGTCCAAAACCCCCTCGTGAATCTCTGAACTATTGCTCATTTTAGGTGAACCCCGAGCTGAAGCACCACTTTGAGAAAAGGGGTCTTCATTTTGTCGGCGAGGACGTGGAAGGAGAGCGAATGGAGATCATCGAGCTGGATGGTGAGTAAAAAGTGTGAAAACGAGGGGCGTGATGATGCCCCCGCAGCCCCTGAGCCCACTCAACACTCACTCCCACCCTGGAGGACTCGAGCGTACGGGGTGCCACCTGCTCCTTTTTTGGGGGGGCAGAGCGGGGCTCAGCATCCTGCCCGAAGGACACGGCGAGCGCCTCAAACGCCAGCAGGACATCGCGCCGCCGCTTAATCCGCCCGTGTTGATCGAGCGAGCCTTGTTGTTGTTTCCAGATCACTGTTACTTTGTCGGAGTGCAGTACCATCCCGAGTTCACCTCCAGACCCATCAAACCTTCTCCCCCCTACTTCGGGCTGCTGCTGGCTGCGGCGGGGAAGCTCCCGGGCTACCTGGCCAAGGGCTGCCGCCTCTCCCCCCGGTGAGCTGCCACGCGGCAAAGTGGGTCGAACTTCGGCGTAAACGGACTGCGTGATGCTCAGTTCACACGTTTGATCCAACTACAAGGCTGCGATGTGTGCAGTGCTTTATTCATCGAATCATTTATATGTAATTCCTTATTCGATCTGTAGATTTACAAGCCTATTTTTATTCCGTGTCATAATCGAGTGACCATATCATCACTGCGCCTGCGATCCCCGTCTGGCACTTCTGCTGTAAAGCTCGATTTAATGCTCTGTTCTGGTTTTACAGGGACACTTACAGCGGCAGCAGCGGCAGCAGTTCTCCCGAAGCAGACTTGTCCGAGCTCAAGTTCCCCTCTTTGTCCCGAGACTGAAGCCTGTGCGGTCTGCTGTGCTTGTGTTTCACCCGTGCAGATAAATGCCAGGTTTGCTCTTAAACGATGCAACAAACCGCCTCCCGCGCTCCCGTGGGTACGACAAGTCGCCCTGGTGACAACTTAAACTCTACGTATATTAAGCCTTGATTGTATAAAGGGCGGCTCAAGAAGAGAAATGTCGTGAAGCTTTCCGGAAAGAGACGAGTCTGCCGGTGAATCCCAGCCCGTCTCTGCGGAGGAGCTTTCTAATCATGATCCTTCCTCAAACCCGCCAGGAGATGAATAATGCATTTTGCAGTGAAGTGTGGAGAATTGGGGCGCGCTCGGCGTAAGCAGATTAGTTTGCAGCAGTGTCTAAATATCTGGATTGTTTTTAAGGCAACTTTCCTGCGAATTAAAATGAAAATATTGATATTAATACTTTATACAGCCGTGTTGCCGAGGAATCATGACAGTTGAAAATATCCCTGATACATTAACTTGGTTCAGAAATGTTTTATTGTTTGTAACAATTTTAAGTGGTCGAGTTTTTCTCCTTTTTTAGGTTTAATTCCTGCTTTCAAATCATAAATCAAAGCTGTGTGTGTGCGCGCACAAGTGGGTAAGCTACACAACCCTCTGTTCTTAAATAATGTAGCACTGAGAGTATATGAATTTTCTCTGTCATGAGGTGGAAGCTTTAAGCATCCGATGTGTTTTCATTGTAATGGATATCGCACTTTTTACGGCTTAAAACTCCCCAGTTCTGCTTGTGGGGCTTTTTTAAAAATCCGCTTTCATTGGCTAACATGATTTCAACTTTAATGCACTACTTGTAAAGTATGAACTTTAGCGACGCTGCCCTCTGCCTGGTCCCACTGGAGAGAAGCGCATGAACAGGAAAAGCTCAAGCATCTGACTGTAGGTGATGAGCATCAAGTTAAATTCCTACCTGGATGGTCATGACCTTTGTTTGTAAGCTGGTGACCCAAATGTATGAGAAAGAAGCAGTATTTTTTTATATTAAGTGCATGTGTGATGTGTGTACGCTGAATAAACGTACTTTATTCCTCCTGACAATCTTTGCCTTTATTCCACTACAACAAAGAAACACGGTGAAATCCTCCGTGTGCCTTTAATACGGTAAACATCAGTTTCAGAGAGGAGGCCTTTGTTTGCATTACGCCACCAAGTCGACCTGTAGTCATTACACCTCCTGGTTACAGAGGAGTTGTCCTTTTATAACTTAATTGTCTTTAACTTCCCCCTTTTAGGTGCACAGGCGAGATTTAAATGGACTCGTCCTGGCCGTGTGTGATTGTTAGCGACACAACCTCGATAAATGAAACTACCACTTCCTCATATTCCTCCACTTCGGGCTCCTCCCCCTGCAACCCGACGCCCCCCCCACCCGCCTTGTGTCAAGTTTCAACAAGCAAATGTCAGCAGTCTCCACCCTGCACGCCGCCCTGCGTGCACATGCCTGCAGTATCGGCTGAGACCAGGACCCGAGCCGGACTGGGATCCCTCTGTGGGAAGAGGGTGCTGCGAGGATGAGGACTTGATGATGCAATCAGCCGCGTGTGATGAGCGTGGACACGGCCGGCCCTGCTGATAGTGGGATCGATAAGAAGTGGCCGGCTGCGCTTCTTCCTCAACATTCGTGAGCGTCAGACAGGCAGCACCGGCTGGGAAGCGGATCGCTGGTCTCCTCCAGGGTTCATCAGGACTTCCTCCGTCCCCCATGGTGCCGTCTCTTCAGACATCCCGACCCGACAAAGTCTAATTCCTGTGTGTATCTTTTTGTTTGTCTTGCTCAGAACTTTCTCTCTGCTTCTGTACTCACGGCTCTCTCGCTCTCTCTCCTCCAGCGCCAGCAGCAATGGACCTGACTCTGTGGCAGTACCAGTTTAGGATCATCATGCTGGGGGACTCCACGGTGGGCAAGTCCTCCTTGCTCAAGCGCTACACTGAAGACCTGTTCCTGGAGTCCATCAACCAGACGGTGGGTGTTGACTTCTACGTCCACTTCCTGGAGGTGGAGCCGGGGGTCCGCGTCAAGCTCCAGTTCTGGGACACGGCCGGTCAGGAGCGGTTCAGGTGAGGACGCGTCTCAGGTGACCGTGCACGTTCCAGAAAGCGACTCAGCGCAAAATCACGCCAAACAAACCGACTATGAGACGCTCCTTTCCCAGAAAAAAAAAAAAAAAACTAAGCCGGAAACGTGTTTCGTCGTGTTCTCAAATCCATCACGTCTGTCCTCTGGACCGATGGACCGCAGCCGATTGCAAAGCGCGCGCGTCGCTGCACATCAGCGGCCTGATGATCTCACCCGAGTCAGCGACAAGCTCGCCGTTTGTTTTCATAAAGGGAAGCGGCTCACGCCTTTTCCTTCAAACATTACACCACTCTGCCCTCCGCACCTCCGCGATTACAGAACAGTGAGCGTCAATTCCGTCAATCGGCTTATCTCAAAGAGCTCAGTTTGGAGTCAGCGGACTTTGTGAGGTCCTCACTGCTCCGTTCTCTCCTCAGGTCAGTGACCCGTTCTTACTACCGCAACTCAGTGGGAGGTCTGCTGGTGTTCGACATGACCAACCGGGCCTCCTTCGACCACGTGAAGGAGTGGCACGCCGAGGTGTGCGAGCGGGTGCGGCCGCAGAAGGTCCTGTTCGTCCTGGTGGGACAGAAGAGCGACCGCGGCGACGACAGGGCGGTGAGTCGGGAGGAGGCCGAGAAGCTGGCCGGCCAGCTGGGGGTCCCCTACGTGGAGGCCTCCGCCAAGACGGGCCACAACGTGAAGGACGCCTTCGAGCTGCTGACTCGGCGGATCTACCAGGGGCTGCTGAGCGGCGAGGTGGAGCCGCAGGACGGCTGGGACGGCGTGAAGTGCGCCGCCCGCCGGCCGCTGCGGCTGCAGAGAGACGACCCGGCCCGGCCCAGCGCGGCCCCCAGGAAGTGCTGTCCTTAGGACCCGCCCCTTCCCCGCCCGCCACAACGTGACCATCAGGAAACACTGATTGGCACATGTTTGAAATATTTTGCGTATTTGTTTGTACGAAGCTTTGACACGTGACCTAAAATGGCTTAAGATTGAACTTCAAACCCACTGACTGATGACAGTGACCGTCCCACCTTCTCGTGGTCCCCCGAGGACTCGTTTGTCCTCCGCCAGCAGGTCCACTTGCTGCGGCGAGGAAACTAATGGAGCTCCGGTCTGCAGCCAGACGTTGTTTTCCGCCGACGAGGGCGTGAAGTTAAACGCGGCTGCTTCCCGACGCGAGCGTCAGGCCGACTGTACAAAACATTCTGCGTCGTCTGCAGACTGAGACTGAATTAACGCTTCGGGCGTAGTCAGTCTTTGTTGCAGCACATGCTCAGTGAGCGATTGTTGAAATGAATTAAAAACTTCTAGTGCCTCTGGATGTTGTTTGTTTACTGTCCATCTGCTGAACAAAAGGCCTCCTGTGTTTTCCTACCAAGATGCAGATGATCCTGATCGGTGGAAGCTGTGTGTCTTTATGAAGTTTGAAACTCGGAGTTTAGCCCTGCGAGAGAAAGGTTTGATAGAGCAGTCGTTTATTTTTTTTATGCGACATTGTGAAAGTCAACATCTCAGCACCATTTCTTCCATCGTCTCGATGAAACAGACCAAAGTAAAAATACAATTTACACGGATAGTTCAAATAAATGTTGATGAAATAAACCCTTCCACATTCTGTAGCAACACACAAAACCATAAACATGATTAATAACCAAATTTCCTGTTTGTAGCCACCGTTTGGTTTAATAATAAATGTATGATTGGAGTAAATGAACAAGGGAGCTTAGTTATAATGATCCGTCGTTGTAGATAAACACATTTCTCAGCATTTACTTGGAAATGCTCTAAAAGTAGCCAGCGAGACCGAGCAGTGGTCAGCGTCCAAACAGAATTCCAGTAAATGTTTGACAAAAAGGTTGAGTTCTGCGAGGCTTAAACTCGATGGCAACGAAAGACAATCAGACGAGAATTACATTGTTGTGACAATTAGACTAATGAACAACAGAAGCGTTCCTCCCCTACGCGTTAGTCCAAAAAGAATGAATCCACACCAAAGGAAAGGCGACGCACACGGCGGGTACGACGTGGTAGTCTCGCTACTTTTTGGTTGTCTTGCGGATCAGCGCCATTCTCTGCAAGGAGACCAAATGAATTATTAACATTACTGAGCGGCAGTTGCACGGAACACACACACACACAAAGCCTTTGATTGCCCACCTGTTTGTGGGCCTCTGTGGTGCAGGCCTTCTTGAACGGCCGGATCTCATCTGAGCCGTAGCCGGGGATCCACATGTTCCACTGGCGCTCTGAGGGAAGGACACACAACAGAGGCTTGGAGATACAACGCCAAGGGCACTCGGAGCGATCCGCGCCGTCGCTTCCCGGCGCCGGTCGCCGCGTCATCGGAACGCGTTCTTCTTTAGCTCGCCTCGCTTCACTCTAAGTGTCCTGGGGAGCGGCCCGAGTGGTTTTTCTATGAATGTTTTAGTCACACGGAGGGAGAATGACTTTCGGGGGAGGGGGGGGTCTCTGTTTTTGTATCTCCTCCACAGCACACGGATCCACGGAGGCTTCCCTTAAACACGCCTGATCAATATGACCTACATGTGTAAGTAGCTGCCCGTTACGAAAGCACTTATGCACCAGTCGTTACACGCTTATGGTCACACTGGATACTCGGGTCCCACAGAGACGCAATGAGCCCACTCAAAAAAAAAAAAAAAAAACTTACCGAGATGTAATTGAACATCCTTCACCTCCAAGGTGTTGGACTTGCGATGGCGAGCCAGCTGACACGCCGCTGTCACCACACTTTCTATGAAGTCATCTGCGATTTGCAGCAGCATCTGGGGAGAGACGGGCATCGCCAGAACCATCGATCATCTCAGAAAGGGAAAGATCCTACAGCGGCTGGACAAATCCCTCATATTTTCCGCTGCTGACAGTTTTTCATGCAGCTCGGCTTTCAATAGAACAACATTTCCAAATGATGGATGTGGCAGAGCGTTGGGGAACTAGAGAGCAACGCAAACATATTGCACGGCAAACATTCCCCTGCTGCTTACGGCTGCCACAGAGGGGATCGGCCGCTTTTCAAAACAGCATTTATTAAAAGGATAAATTCAGAACAGGATTATAATTTATTCATATTTTAAAAAACGGGACAGTAACTCAACTTGGTACTATTTCACTGGAATAAAAAATGAATAGTGTCAGTGCTTCCTGTCATGCAGGAGAACAGAGGAGCTGGTTTGTCTCTGCAAGCAAAGTTTTAAAAGATGCAGAGGTGTGGGGGGGGGCTCCAGCCCGACGGAGAGCAGGGGAAATGTTGCACTGTGATAACGAGTTACACCAAAACATCAGTGTTGATTTATTGTCTTAGCTGATCAATACTGCCGAGGCCACTTTAATACAGAGTTGTGTAGCTCCTCTCTAATGTTCACACATATGAAGTTTATTTTAAACTAAACCCGCCAACGAACCTCCTCGACATCCTCGTCCAGCTGTTCATTCGGATCGATCTCCCTCACCAGGTCCTGCAGCTTCTTCTTACTGAGCACCTGGAGGGAAAGCAAACGTTTCTATTCAGTCACAAACGGGTACCGGTGTTCCAATGCTTTAGTTTATTTAGACAACACAATACTTTTAGACATTAAAACAGATGCTGCTGGTGCAGCAATGCTGGGCGTTTGGTGAATTGACACAAACAACTGACCTGAGACCCCTCCGGACTACTTCGACCAGCAGGGCCAGGGGTCCCAATAACCTTTACTGCTGCTGGGATGCTGTTCGCCATGCTGGTGGCCACAAGAAAGGTGGTGGGGGGGGGGGGGAAAGGCTTTCTGGTGTGATCTAAACGGAGAGTGACCGTCCAAGATGGGCACAGATGTGACAGATTATCGCCTGCAGGGACCACCTCTGTAAATCTGGAAAAGAAGGCGGGGTTAAGAAGATGGCGTAACGTCAACGTTACACCAGCTTCAGGTTGATAAACATCCTTAACGTGCTTGAAGAATCTCTGCGAAACAGTCATTATATAAATCACGTCGTAAGTTTGATGTATTCCCCACTCGACGCGTTTATTTAACTCGACTAATTTGTTGCGGTGTATGTTACTGTTTCGCTTCACAAGATGCAGCAAGTTAGCCGTAAAACGTTGACAGATCTAACGTTACGCAACATAACACCGGCTTGGAAAGACGACACCACACTCGTAGAACAGTAAGTTCACACAGGACGCAGCTACGACAACTGAAACAAACAAACAAAACCGCCGCTAACGTAACGTAACGAGCTAAAAACAATAGCAGCTATCGAGCTCTGAGCTTAGCCGGACGGGCTAGCATTAGCTGCTAATCTAACGTCGCGGCTTCGCACCGCGGTGCGTCCCGAAACCGCGCGTTCGATCCGCAACTCACCCGATGAAAGAAACACTATCTGTCCATGTTTCGGCCTCCGTGTGGCGACGACGACGAGTGACTTTAATGCCAACAGATTCCCTAAAAGTGCCTCTGCACAGCTCGGAAAATTGGCGAGGTCGTCTTTCCCTCCACTTCCGCTTTGTGCAGTTACGCTTCCGGTGGAAACACGGCGGCTCTGTTCCGCCCCCTGCTGGACGCGTGCGGAACTACAGCATGCGTCAACAACTCTAATGACAAATTCATTTGATTCACAATTCATAAAACATAAAAAAAACATCGTTTATGAATACTTGGAATGATGCTTGTAAGTGAGACGTGAGCCCGTTTACGTAAGATTGTATTTAAGTGAACTACTGGTAAAGTAGAGTACAAATAAAGTATCAAATATCTTAGTGGTCATGGACGTTTACATAAGTAGATTTTTATTTGTCGTTTTTTTACCTATTTATTGTAACGATGCTATTGTCCAGGCGCGGGCTGCATAAAACGGAGACATATGCTCAAATCTAACTGACGCTCATGAGTCAAAAGGTTATAATTTACAGTAAATGCCCCCTTTCGATTCCGCCCCCGGCTCTGGTTAACAGCCAATCAATTAAAAAGCCCGAATGAAGCGTAACATGTTGTTAGGAATCAGATTGCAAACGGTGTAACGTGTCAGGCCTTATTTCTCTTTCTGTTTGACTGCGTCAGAAAGATTCAACAACAAGCCTCCGGGTGCAGTGACGCACTGATGGCGGTTTGGTGATCGGGCACCAGTTCCTTTAGTCACAGCGTTCCTCGCAAAATAAAAGGCCACAGACGTAATAAGGGTCACCGCGCATTTTGGCCAGAGGGATGTTTCGGATGTTTTTTTTGGAGCCGACTTCCTGATGCCACACCTCCGCCTCGTTATGATAAATACTGAGCAGACTTTCATTTCACTCACCGGGAACCGGATTCAAGTGCGCACCGTTGTTTTACAGTAGGAAGCCTTTTTTTTTTGTTGCTCCACAGTCATGAAAGTCGTTCTAATCGCTGCATTGGTCGCCCTGATTCATGGCAGTTCAGGTAAATATACTTTATAATAAAAATATATTTTTATTTTTATTTTTGCTGAGCTTTTTACAGACGCGATCGCTTTAAAACATCTACTTTGCATCGCTGCTCTATCGGGGGAAATCTTTGTGCGTTATTGTGCTTTTTTCTTCATGAATATCCCCTCCGGAGAAAACACTCCTGTCACTTGTTGCGTGTCCCCTGGCGGTTACGAGCTCGCGGACTCAAAACAGGAAACGTGGACGTTATTGTCGAGGGAACGACGGAAAACCAGCAATTAAAGCGGCGTTTCTGCGCACACTGAGCGACCCGCAGGCCCGCTTATACGTAAACAGCGCGCGGTCGTCGTCGCCCGAAGGCACAAACACACAAACAAGCGGAGCCGCAGAACCTGTTGCCGGTCACGTGCTCGCGGGGACTTTCCACAGGAGCCAAATGTCAGCAGCAGCAGCAGCAGCAGCTGGTTCTCTGTCTCCTTGTCATGCGGTGATCAATAACGATGACAATGTGTGTGTGTGATCTGTGTCCACGCGCAGCCACCCTGCTCATCACAGGGCCCACGCAGCCCGTCCTGGAGGGCGAGAGCTTCACGCTGGAGTGTCGGTACTCCGACTCGGAGCTCAACATCAGCCGGGTCCACTTTGAGGTCTTCTCCCAGGTGAGGCCGAGGGGGGGGGGGAAGAGAGTCTGTGTCAATATCCCAATTAAAAACAGGAACCATCAGAGGCTCCTCCCAGCGACAGTGTCTTTCTATTCTTAGATTTCCTGTAAATGCAATGCTGTTCTGCACTGCGGAAGTTGGCTTCCGGTGCGTTTTGCATGTCGGGCTGAATAAAGTTTTCTTTCTGCAGCACATGCGCCGCTGGAGTCCAGTGGGGGAGCGCTCCTGGTGCTTCTACACGACGCAGGTCGAGAGGACCGGGGACAGTCTGTCCCTGTCCGTGCGGCACGCAGGAAGGTACTCCGAGGGCCCCTACCGCTGCGTGTCCGACGCCCCGAATGCCACCGCCACGGACCTCGCCTCCCGACTGCTGGAGGTCAAAGTGCACTGTGAGTGGCCGGGCCCGATCAGGGTCGTCTGCTCAGGAATCAGGAAACATTTATTAGCCAAAATATGTCAAACATACAAGGAATTTGTCTTGGCGGTTAGTGCGCGACAGTAGACAGACAAGACAACAGTGCACAAGTAATAAATTAATAAAGCTGAGTCCGAAACCGACGACTCTGCGGCAACGCGTTTCCCTCTTGATGAATGCAGAATCCTCGCGTACTTTATTTTGGTCGTTTCTGTTCATTGCCTGTCTCCTGCGGAGGGGAATGACATATGTGCAAATAAGATAAACAGCTCCTGGGTTTTCACTTTCCAGCAATAATAATGCTGAAGTAAGTAAGCATAAAAAACCAAAGACCTGACAGCACATCAGCAAACGGGGGAGAAGCTTCCAAGCAGCAGGAGGTAGAAACGTACAGCTTTCATAGAACGAAACAAACACATTAATAGTTCATGAGACGTATTAAGCAGCAGCAGAGGTGTGTAACAAAACCACTGCAGCATCGACGCCGTTTCGCTGCGACGGGTTCGCCACATTTCACTATGCGGGCGAGTGGGTGTTTGCATCCATGGCTCGCCGGTCAGAGTATCAGTGTCCTCGATCTTCTCAGCGGCCATCAGATCGACCTTAATGCTGTCGGATAGGCGCCTCGGCCTCATGAGACGAATCAATAGAAGGCAAAGATTAGAACGGGCTAGGGGGGGATCTATTGAGATGGAAGATGAGCCATTATTCACAACACTGCCTCCCTAAAGACTTTCGATAGGACGAAGCCTATCATCATCATCGTCGGCGTCATTGATTGCTCGAGGCGGCCCGTATACCTTCCTGGAGCCCCGTCGACTTTAAAGATCCGAGTGTTCCAGCGGCTGCAAACATGTGTTCAGTCACGTCCTCCAGGAGGCACTTCTCTGCGCTTCGTTAACGCTCCATCCTCCCTCCTCGTCCTCCCCCCCTGGGGATTTAGATATGGGGGAGCTGTTGCTGACCAGGGAAGGCTACTCCAGCTACTTCGGGGCTCCGAAGGAGCTGAAGGTGCGGCTCGGGGACGACGTGGTGGTCAAGTGCTCCGCCAGCTCGTCGGAGGAGCCGACGTACCTCTGGAGCAAAGAGGTGAGGGAGCCGCCGTCGACGGGGACCCTCCTCGCATCTCTGCTGTCTGGTTCCAACGCCTTCTCATTTCCACTCGCCTTTCTAGTTCCCCCTACCGCCCTCCTGGCCCAAACCACCTGTCCCCCCCCCCCCCCCCTCAGCTGTCGTCTCTCCGTCCTCTCTTGTGACGAAGCGCTCTGTGTTTAAGTGACCGGTTGGCTCAGGAACCGTCGCTCGCTGGGGGTTTTGCGGCCTGCCCCACTTACAGAGGATTAATAGTTTAATGAGGTCTAGACGAGAGCCAGTCAACCTGAAAACAATTATGTGTATAGATTTCTAATGATTTTGTGTGTGTGCGTGAGTTTGGTTAACCAGTATTGAATTATTCAACTGGCCTCTTCTCCGAGCTGAGAATCCGTCACCCGAGGGAAATTAAGACATCTCTGTGTAAAATGCCAGTGACAACAAGGCATGTGGAACAAGAAGAGGTTGATGAGCCTGGAGGTCCCCTGGTGGTGAGAAAGTGCTATTACACCTTCTATCGCCATCAAAACCACCAGAAAGTTACAGGTCCGATGAAGCTACGCAACCAGTGAGGTGTATTGGGAACAGCCACACTTAATTGGCAGGTTCCCCCTTTTTTTAAATTCTTTTTGCTAAGTGTGTTTGGGGTTAATATGCTTGTGAAAGGGTCACCGCTAATCCAGGTTTTAAATGAGCTTACAAATCTAAATCCAAATTGAGTGAAAATGTGACACTGCTAATACTGTTTGTCCGCCAGAGATAATGAGTTTATTAAAAGAAGATTGTGCCGCAGTGAGTTTAAACCACAGCAGTTTGATGGTGAAGAAGAATCGTTGGTTCTGCCACAATCAAAGATTCAAAGATTTTTTTTATTGTCAGTAACACACAGCTCTGTGTGTTGAAATTCTTGTGCTTGCCTTTTTCTGGAAAGCCGACCAATTTTAAAATTAAAATAAAAATACAATATTTATATAAATGTACAGGGAATAAAAAAATCGTTCGGCACACCTGCGGTCGTGGTTCACCCGTCCCGTCTTTCTGCGCTTTACGAGTCGCAAAGGCTTCGCTTCCAAAAGGAATGACGGGAGGGGGGCGATAAGCGGGGACGGAACGTGTCCTCCATCTGTGAGCCCGCTGTACGTACGACAGGAGCGGAATTGGGGCAAAGCGCCGCGTACGACTGGCCCGCTTTGACAGACAGCTGCCTGGAGGGGGGGAGGAGGGGGGGGGGCGTTGGTCCCCCCCGGTGATGACAGCGGGACAGAGGCGAAGACAGGGACGCCGCTTATGGTGCCACTGGATTTGCATACAAAACGCCGCTTTGGCCAGACCTGGCCTTTGTGGGAAATCCTCTTAATTCAGATCCATTCAAATTGAAATGGACTTTCTTGGCAGGAGCCGCGGCTCCCAGGAGCCAAATCATTTGCATGTTGTAATGTTTTTTTGTTGTTGTTTTTGTTGTTTTTCCCCCTCTACCTCCTCCCCTGTGTTCGTTTGTTTTTCCAATCCTTGTGTTATTTGTTTCCCCCCCCGATGTCGGGCTCCATCTCATAATAGTGCTGCTATTTCTGTGTCTACAATCCATCCCGCTCCCTCGCCGTCTCATTATGCGCCGTGTTAACAGTCTGTTGTTGAGGCTTCATTCTTTGCGGATGATGGTGTTATCTGGGTTATTGACTGCAGTCCATGTGTGCTCATTCATCGGGATTACTACCCAGGTAAACACACTTCATTCGGGACTCTGGGCTCTCGTTCTCAGCAGAGACGGCGTTCTGTTTCCTTCTCTCTTTGCCCTCGCGTACGACAACAGCCGCTTCCACGTCTCTTCCTGAAACTGCCTCCCTCCGGCGCTCTCTGTTTTGAGTCTCCACCCGTTGCCCTCTCAGGGCGACGACTGGCTCCTGCCCTCCTCCACGCTGACGCTGAGGAAGATCACGGCGGCGGACAGAGGACGGTACACCTGCGCGGCGACGCATCCCTCCGTGGAGTCGCTCGGCAAGAAACGCACCATCAGCATCGCGGTGCTGCCAGGTGAGACAAGGCTGAGGGTCCAACGGGGGACGTCTTGTCGTTTTTGGACGTTTTATGACCTGGTACACAGAGGGAGTTTCTCGCTTCGTCTTTCTGAGGAACGCCGCGGTGTTATTTCCTTCACAGCAACAAGCGAAACACTGCGCGGCGCTTCCCTTTTCTGAAGCAGAAGTTCTCGTTTGCGAAAGTGCATTTTGAAGCCTTTGAAGCCAAAAGAGTTCCCCTTAAATTTACCTGCCCACTAGAACGATAATACAAAGTGGAGAAAGGGATTTCTGAAAACGCATCAGATGTAAGAAGCCTGTGATGGAATTAGCTTTTGAAAAAAGAAGCTACCAGAAGAAGTTCGTTCATTTAAAATAAATAAACGGCAATGACCGAACAGCACCAACCTCAAGGAGAGGATCATTGTTTAGACCGTAAACAACGAAATTATTTCACCTGACCTCTTTTTCTCATTTTGACAGAAATGTCAAACATAAGCACCAAGGAGGGTCTGTCGACCTTTTGCAACTTAAAGCCCCCTTTTTGACTCTTGAAAGAGGATCACCATAAAACGAAATAATAATAGATAATACAACATAAAAAAAGGGGGGAATTAATAAACAGGGATACATTTCGGCGCATAAAAATACATCCCTTATAGCGTCACCTGTTACAAAATAGGTCCTTCTGACAGAAAGTAAACGTTGGATCACCGTGTGTGAGGATGTCTGAGGCTTTTCTTGCTCTTCTTCGTGATGCAAAGAGAAGCTTGTGTTCAAGTGGATAATTAATTCCATTGCAGCGTATTAGCTAATCTAATTCATGACACCTCCGCTGTCTTCATCCCCGCTGCCATTGACCTGTGAGATGACGCCACTGTGTTACCGCAACGCACTTTTTAAACGCCGTCCTCACACCCGGTAGGGCTCATGAACCCTCGAAATCCCGTATGTTGAAATGATGCAACCTCTGAAAATGCAATTAGCTCAATGCACGTTATTTATTATGCTGTACGAGTCCAATTACTTGTTCAATGGTCTCATTGGTCGCTGTGTTCCACGGTTTCTCCAGTATTTTCTCTGGAGTAGTAATAAAAAAAGTAATAATCTCTAGATGCTGGAATAATGGTCGGGGTATGGCGGGTAAATGTTGCACGCCGCCGCTGTTACTTTGGATTTTGAACGCAAAACCTAATCAAACACTCCTGGTGCCGAGAAATCATCTCCACATATGGAGTAGAGCAACTGTACATGAGCAGGCTTCTAATCCTCATGACCACAATTAGTCCTTCTCTGCAGAAGTAACGGCTCACACTCTTTTCTTGTCCCACGAGCCGAGCGGCACGTTGCCTTCAGCTGCTCGGCCCGGAGGCAGCGACGTGGTAGTTCTGCCCGGTGGCTCACAGTCTGTGCGGCGCACTTCACGTGTGACCTTCATGTGTCCCGCAGAGGACGCCCGCTGGTACGAGTCCAGTAATGGCCGCCTGGTGCTGATGACCTCCACGGCGGCCCTCTCCCTCTTGGTGCTGGTCCTCTCCATGACGGCGTTCCTGTGCCAAAGGGCCCGGCGCGCCAAGGCCTGCAAGGGACCCATGTAAGAGAGAGTGTCTGTGTCTGTGTGTGAGTGTTTCACAATAGGAAATCACCTTTTCTCTTTTACTGATCTGATCTGATCTTTTCAATCGTCATAAATATATATATATATATTTTTCACTGCACTCCGTCCACACTCGCCTTTCTATTTTCCCCCCTAACTCATCGCGGATTTCTCTTCCCGCAGTTTGATTTCATATCACGGTTATGGTTATTGCTGTTATATTTCATTCTGTCTCATGCGATAGAACCAGTGTGTGTGTGTGTGTGTGTATTTGTGTGTATTAGACACACATCATGCGTACGTGTCGTTTCCTTGTTGCAAACCTTTCCCACGCGTGCAGACTGGAGTCTGTGCGCCGCTCCGTGTTTTTAAAGGCCGCTATCGCCGTTGAATATTGATGTCGCTCTCAGCGGCTCCGACTGACCCCGTCCTTTATCTGTCTCCTGCCCCCCCCCCCCCCCCACCTCTCCCCTCTCCAACGGGTTTCTGCTTGTAGCGGCAGCTTCAATTACACAATATTATTTAAAGTGCATGTGACGGAGACGGCGGCGATAAGAGCAGAAGCGAAGTGCCATTTAGCTCCGTGGCCGTCAGCATGTTGGGGGCCGTGACCCCATGCAGCTTCCCTTATTAACTCACCCCCCCCCTCGTGGGCGGAAGACATTCCTAAAGACGTGGTTGCCATTAGCGACCTCTTTCGTTCATGTGTCTTTGTGGTGGCCTAGAAGATACAGACTTATTATTGGAGGGCATTTATGTGCGTTTATCACCACGTGTGGATGAAAAAAAAGCCAGCGCCAAAGAGAGAAAGATGGACTTTCACTTCAGGGCTCCATCGCTTGGTCCCATCTATAATTTTCTCACTCCTTCTTATCTAGTGCCTGCTGGACGGTCGATATGAGGGTAATAATGCTCCTCTGTCTTTTCCTTCTCTGTCTTCTCTCCGCCAGTGACGACCGTTCTCAGAAGAAGCCCATCTACAAAAGCAGCGCCGAGTCCCTGCCCTCCTCCACCTGTGGAGACAATCAGCCTCTGGTTTGACTGCACAGGCAGGTGGAAGGATGAGGGGGGTGGGGGGGGTGGTGGGGCATTGGAAGATGGAGCAGAGTGCACGGGAGACGTAGTGGGCGAGCAGAAGATAAGCGGGTGGATGTGCAGGTATCAGGGAGGGGAGGAGGGGGTATTTTGTGTGTACACGTAAAGGCAAACGATCACTTTACGCTGCTCTGCTCGCGCGTTTAGGCTCAAGTGCTCCTCGGACAGAGAGGTGGGCAATTTTTCTTTTCATTCACTCTGCGCCGTGGAAAACGGCGAGCTTTCATTGCCAGCAAAATGACGTGCGATTAATCTGGTGTACCGCCGGAGCTGTAAAGACTCCACGTGCAATTCTCTCTTTTCTGCAAATATAATTGCTCAGCTGTGTATCACGAATGAGCCATTTGGGTGAGCAAGGTTTCATTTTGTTGATTTTCCTTCCCGGCCAGCCTCCTTTTGCGAAGCAGAAGCAGCTTCTTTGAGAAGGTGGTAATCATCTTTTTACTGTGACAGCTCTCAGGCACATCACACTCCACCATTTGATTTACTGTACTATGGATTTCTTTGGTATTAAATGGCTTTCAGACAATGTTATTTGCTTTCCCTGCCAATGATTTTGTTCCGTTTCAGTGTGAGAAAGGGGGTTGGCGGGTATCGAGCCGCACGCTGCCTTGGCGAGCTTCTATCCGTTCGCTTGCTGACCTTCACTTTGCTCGTGTGAGCCTTTTATTCTGAGGCGATGACCTTTACTCAAAGTGAAAATTCCTCCCAGTCCGCCTGCGGGCACGAACCCACTCTGAGCCAGTGCAGCCGACTAACGGAAAACTTTGAAACTTTGCTTTGCAGCTGGTAGTTATAACTTAATATGAACACGGTGAATCCAATCTAATCATAGACTACAACTTCTTATTCCTAATTTTCTCCTCTGTTGCCTCGTGAGCCTTATACGCTTATTACCACGACGGCGCTCGTAACGCAAAGAATTTCATCACGCCCGTCGGTTGAAGTTATGTCGGGCTTCACGTGGTTTCATCGCCTGTGTGTGTGTGTGTGTGTGTGTGTGGTTAATAAAAGGCCGAGCGGCAGTTTAACAGTGACACTCCATTAACGGGTGCACGCGCCACGGAGCACAGCCAGGATAACGTTATTAAACGGATCATTCGAGCCTCCCGTGCAGCCCGTCTTTGTCCGGCATTTTACAGACTCCTCGTTCCTCTCTTTCCAACTCCGCAAACTTCTTCAACGACGAAGAGAAGACCGATGCGGCGCTTTGAACCCGAAACGGAAAGAACTCTGGAAAAGTCTTCACGCTGTGTTGGAAAGAATGTTTTTAAATTCAAAATGCCCTCTTGCATGTGAATTTTGTATTTCTTGCATTTTGGCCTTTGAATCAGTCATGAGTGAAACGCTGTGGGACCCCCCCCCCCTCCCGGTGCAGCCTGATCTCCAAATCCTGTTTGTAAAAATGTGTACGAAAATCCTGAAGATACAATTTCGTAGTGATACATAAATAAATACGGACTGCAACGGATGACGTCGCCCTGTTCAAAGCGAACGGGGACCTGCGCCCCGTAAACACAGCTTGTAAAGTCTAACCATGTAAAATAAACATGTTATGATGCATTTTTAACGAGAAATCAACGTTAACTTGTAAGAATAGAATACTGACCCCCTCAAAACATCCAACATGGCGGAGAGACGTTCACTCAAGAATCCCACATGGTCCGCCATGTTGTTCACTCAAGGGGGCGTGGTTGGGGGCGTGGCACATTTTAACGAACAGGTTGTGGAGATCACGTTGATCACGTTGCAGAGCCCCGGTGGGCTTACGGGACCTGCTGGGTCAGAAAAGACAAGATTACGCAGAGCGCAGCTGTCCCCGAGGAACGGCCGAGAAATGAATGTAGTTTACAGAGACATTCTTGACCTTGATGGCACCTCACGGATAAACCGCCCCCCTCCCCCCGCGGACAACAGCTCAGGGGCGCTGCAGGACGTGCACAGAATACAGAGCAGCCTGAAAATATATTAGTGCGAAGTGCAGGCGGGATGCAGATCCGTGACGCGGCAACTCGGATGTCAGTTAGTTCGTGTTCGGCAGTTCGGGTCCTGGCCGACCTCGCTACACGGATCCGCGAGCAAAGGTGACTCGCGCCAAACGCGCCGCCTCGTTGAATGTTTCGACAAAGTGCCAGGTATTTGCACGGCGCCGCCCCGCCGCTGCTCCGGTCACGGTCACCTGGTTTCTGTGTGTGCAGCCTGCACGCGTCGCGTCAAATGGCTCGAAATGAAGGAGCGGCGTTTTTTTTTCTGGAGAAGCAGGTGCTCGTCCTCTCATTACTGCCTGACAATGCCCCATCTGGTGCCCGGGGAGCTGCGGCCCGCCACCTACTCGCTGCCAACCAGGCTGACGGGGGACGGGGATCGGGGGAACGAGTTGGGAAGGTGCTGTCATCGCCGAAACGACAAGGTCAAGAGCTTGTGGCGGGAAAGATTTTCAGAGAGGCCGAAGCGGAGAACGAAAGGTGCCCCAGAGGTCAGATGTGAGGAGAGAATGTCCTTAGAGTCTTGGGTATGAATATTAATATTAACGCCAATAGACAGCGTTGACGACTCCACGCCTGTTGGAACCTTTGACTGTTTAGAACCGAACCAAATGTCTTGATTTTGTGGATGATGAAACCTATGACATGACATCCCTTAAGTCACCTGAAGGGAGCGCCAGAGATACTTAAATAAATGCCTTGAGAGGCTACAACCCCACAGTAGAGCACTTGATGGGGGGGAAACAATTTTCATAATGGAGCAGCAAGCTATGACCGGAAAACACAATCATGGGCAAACTGTGGCCACAGCATGAGGGCGACGTTAAAGAGCCTCTTTGGAGGAACCTAATAGGCCCCGACTGCCGATGAGGAGGAACTGTCGCTCGTCCGAGGCTCTAGTTTTTGTTCCAGGCCATTACCGCCACTGCAAACGGAGATTTAAACCGAATACTCCCAGGTCTCCCCCCCGGCTCCCGTTGATGAGTCATATTTGTACTTTGGAGGCAAAGCACCTGCGCAGCAGAATGAACCCAGATCTCAAAACACACAAAGACCGCTGGGCCAATTCTCCTTTGACGGTGGGTCGACATTTCAACTTCCCTTCGTCGCATATAGTTAAATAATCATTAGGGTCAAATTCATCGCATAGAGAACGAATCAGTTTGCCGCCATTTCTGCCTTAAGGATGACGTCGGGCTCAAATCAATCAATCATTGACGCAACCAGCCAATCAAGAACTTGCTCATTGGTGCATTGTGTTAGACCTTAAAAGATAATGTAAATAAGGCACCAATTAGTCCCAATTGTGTCCCCTTATTTGTGTGCTCAGCTCACCGGCTGCATTGAAACTGAATCGCAGCAACAGTCACCAATTAATATCCGAATCCGTCCCCCAAGAGCTTCTTAAAATGGCGCGGAGGGGACGTTTGTCCGGAAGACAAAGGTGGAAACGTGCCGGCCAGAGCCTTCCGGTGAAGGCCCCGGTGCAGCGGACCAGACGGACGAAGAGCAAAATGAAGATGAGTGCAAACCAGCTGGTCGAGGCCGAGGAGATTGGTGGTGTTCCTCTACAAGCTTCCCCCCACCAATAACAAACCCACCGCAACGGGGGACAGGTAAGGGGACCGCAGGCACGTGACAGCCCCCCAGGTGATTCAGGGGTTCTGGTTGGTTCAGGTGGACGTATATACGGTTTTCCTTCAACGCGTGTCCATTTTTTTAAACAGTGGCTTGGAAACCGCGGAAACATCGTTTGAAACCCCCCCTAATGACACGTGCCCCCCTAATGACACGTGCTGATTAATCCGCGCAATATCAGTGCAGTTGACTGCGGAATAAACCACCGACTGCAACATTCGTGTCTCTTCAAACATCCGGTACAGTTTCGTCCTCTTCATCACCTCGCGGCCTTCTCGGTCCGCGCAACTGAATATGAAATAAATTGGTTATTTGCTTCGGACAATTAATGTTGGTTATCAATCACATTTAGAGCGAATTGATTTAAATTAATTGGACTGCGCGTCCGTCCGTCCGTCCCTCCCGCTCTCCAACAGCTGATTTCTTCTCAAAGCCCCGCCCCCCTTTTCTCATCCGCACACCTCTCCACGTGCTCCATTGGTCGGCAGCGCCAGCGCGGTCCCGCCCCGCTTGCACCTTTTCAAATAAGATTTACAATGTAAAGTAACCCGGAGAAACCGGCCGAGCCGTCACGCGCAGGCATTCCGAGGGGCAGAGCGCGCGCCAGGGGAGCATTGCTATGTAAAGACCGAGCGCCCGACACGACACGCACATCCACCCGCCCGCACGCACGCGGACGCTGCAGGAGAGAGAGAGAACCCGCGGGTTCGTGTCAGTCCGGTTCTCTCCGCGGAAGAGGAATACCCGAGAAGACACCTGCGGGGAATATCAGCGACCGCGCGATGGCTTCTGCGACCGCGCGGAGCCTCTGCGTCCCGCTCGCCATCGTCGGCGTCGTCGCCGTCGCCTGCCTGGCGCGCACGGGTAAGCCTCGGAACCGTGGTGGTGTGGTGCGTGTGAGAGGAGCGGGAAGCGGGGCGGCTTCTTCCGCGCAAGTTTCTCCCAAGTCCTCTAAAGACGAGCTGGTTTGCTGCGACTCGTCCGACGAGGAGAAAGCGGAGAGGCGCGCGCAGTGGGTCCGGTTGCCCGTCGCCCCGCGGGCTGCGGTTGGTGGGCTGGTGCGCCCCGGCATTCCCGTTTCGTGAGTGAGTCGTTGCAATGACCACTTCTCCAAAAACGGTTCTGCTGGAAATCCCCCCCCCCAGAATGAACTCAGAAGTGCGCAGTGGACACTTTCTCTTTGCGCCCCAGCAGACACGCGCTTTCTCTTTCTCTGCTCGTGCGTCAATGCGTGTGGCCGTCCGGTTGGGACTGAATCCGCGGGACACGCGCGTGTGTGTGTGCGCGCGCACACGGCCGTACGTGTAGATTGAACGATTGACCTCGAATAATGGGACTTAAGAAATGCCCGCAGTGGACCGGACGGGTGCGCACACCGGACGCCCCGCCGGACGCGCGTTTGTTGCCGCTCCGCATGCCGCGGTGGTGTGGTGCGCTGAAAGGACCTTCTGAGGCCTCACCTCATGAGACACAATAACATCTAACAATCAATTGGGAAGCCTTGTAATGGCACCTGCGCTGCCCTTTTGTTGCGCTGCCCCCGTCCCTCCCTCCCACACACACACGCACACACACACACGCACACGCATTGACTGGCCCGGGATAGTCCTGCAGCGCTCCCTCACGGGCACAATGGCTTTCATGGTCATCAGCCTATAACAAGTGCATCTGCTGCAAAAACAGGGATGACTGGTTCAATGGATCACTGATGACTCTGAGCAATTCCAGCCTCTTGGTACTTTGCGCCATCTGCTTGGATATTGTAAAATACAGTCGACAAGCCTTATTAGATCCGACCCAAAGCGACAGTGAACCGGACTGAGCCATCGAGGAAGAGCGCACTGTGTTGCCTCGTTGGTTACCGCATTTGTTGTTGTTGTTGTTGTTGTCCCGGGGGCGGTGAAAAGGTTA